CTCCTGGAGGGCGCTCCCCGCACTTACTCCAGCTCCCGCCTTACAAAGGGGCCGACCTGAGCCCTGGTCCCGGCTCCCAACCTTTCACGGCCCGCCCCGCTGAGCGTCGCCAACGTCCTGCTGCCCCTCCCCCCAGACTTCTCATTCAGAAAGTGAACTGTCCACGAGGAGGAAGCCTAGAAGGCCATGAACTTGTTAAAAAATAATAGGAAGTGCTATGAAAATATAACAAAGTTTCGAAACATTCCATAGAGAACTGAAATGCATAAATGTGTCACAATATATATTTACATCCTGTATGAGGCCCCTAGAACCATCAGAAATGCAAAAAACGGTGAATAACTCATTCTCGAGTTGCCCCCTTAAACATCACATTGCCCCACGGGGCTGGGGGGCGCGTGCCCTTGTCTGAATCGGCGCCCCCAATCGCATTGCCGGGTGCGTCTGGTCAGCACCAGGCCCACGCGCTCTGTGTGGTGTGTGGTTGTCTCCCGGAGCTCGAGCGCAGGGACTCTGGCTTTGTAATCACCTGCACACAGTAGGTGGTCAATAAATGTTTGCTTAATTTTCTTTTTCTTTTTAATTTTTTATTACAAAGGGTATTACATATGTGTCCATTTTTCCCCCCGCCCTAGACAGTCCCCTAGCCTCCCCTATCCCCCAGTTGTCTTATGTCCATTGGTTATGCTTATATGCATGCATACAAGTCCTTTGGTTGATCTCTTAACCCCCTACCTCCTGCCCCCCAACCCTTCCCGGCCTTCCCGCTGCAGTTTGACAATCTGTTTGAGGCAGCTTTGTCTCTATCTATTATTGTTCAAAAGTTTATAATGGTCTCAATTATCCATGAATGAGTGAGATTAATTTTCTTTTTCTTTGTTAATTCTCACCCGATAATATTTTTTCCATTGATTTTCAGGGAGAGTGGAAGAGAGAGGGAAAGACCGAGAGAAACACATCGATGGGTTGCCTCCTGCATGCGCCCGACCAGGGCCCAGGCCGGGGAGGAGCCTGCAACTGAGGTCTGAGGTTCGTGCCCTTGATCGGAATCAAACCTGGAACCCTTCAGTCCGCAGGCTGACGCTCTATCCACTGAGACACCCGGCCAGGGCTGTTTGCTTAGTTTTTGAATTCGGGCAGGGCTCGCCCTGAACTTTTCCCTGTTACGTTTCCAAGTTGATTGCTTTGTCTAGTCCCCGGAAAGGTAGGTGTCCGGTGTGGGCTCCGGGGCGTGTGCCTTGTTCAGCCCACACGCGTTGGTTCCCTGGGTGCACACACCGCGTCCTCTGAGCTTACGGCCTAGAAAGTTCTGGCGGCCGGTGTGGTGGCAGCGAGACTTCCTCTGTCCTGCCCGCGGCCTCTGCGGCAGGAAAGGGAGCAGGCTGCAGGAACGCCCGTTCTCGCTGCACTGGCAGACGCATTGCGGACGTTTTCCGTGGATTCGGCCTGCTTTCCCGTGGCAGCTCCTAGGCCAGTTGGCTTTGCGGCCGCACATGGCTGACCCCAAGGCCGTGCAGGATGTGCCGGGTGGTGAGGAGCCGCCTGCTTCCCGCCTCCACGGGGCCTGTGCTTGGCTCCTCTCACGGTTCCTTCGTCCCCCACCACTCGGACTCACCGGCACCCGTGTCCCAGGCACGGGGACCCGTCCGTGTCACGGACCTGCTTCTCTGCAGAGCGAGCCTGCCTGCGTCTTCCGCACACAGTCATTTACAGTCCACACGCAAGGCTTGGTCCCTCCTGTGTGTCCTGGTCACCCCTGTTCTGGTGGGCGGCACCCCCAGTTCATCCTCACTCCCTGTCTCCATGGCAGTCACTTCGCCGGAGGTAGCCTATCGGCCGAGGCCATCAGATTTCTTTTTTTTAAATATGTTTTTATTGGTCTTTAGAGCGAGAGGAAGGGAGAGGGAGAGAGAGATGGAAACATCGATGAGCGAGAAACATCATGGATCGGCTGCCTCCTGCACATGCCCCACTGGGGATCGAGCCTGCGCTCAGGTATGTGCCCTGACCTGGACTCGAACCCACCCCCGTAGTTCCTGGGTCGGATGCTCAAATGCTGCGCCATGCCGACCGGGCTCAGGCCATTGGATTTCCCCGGGTCCTGCCTTCTGGCCAGGGGGATCCTCTGGCTCAGCTGGGAATATGCCGGAAAAAGGGACCCGTGATTTCCACCACCCCTGAAACAGGCCCAGGGGCAGCGCTGGTTGTAACTGCCCGGCTGAGCCAAAGCCACGGCCGAGGGGTCCGAGAAAACCCGAGGAAGTAAGTGTAGAAGGAGGCGCCGCTTCTTGACTTCCGGAACACCGTGGCCCTCTGTCTGCTGTTTAATTAAGCGTGACTCTGAAGCCTGGCCTCCTAATTAATTTAATTCTGTGTCCTCCCATCAATGGGTAATTGAATTATAAAGGCATGCAGTGTAGCCGCTCAGGACATTGTGTTGCTGGGAGAAGAGAACAATCCAGGGATTGAAAGGGGCCGTGGGGTGGACCCAGTTGGGGCGGAGGGTGAGGTGAGGACTCGTTCACCGCCGCTGGGCTGCTGGCCCCCATGGCCCCCGCAGCCTGGCCAGGGGCTGCCGGGACATTCTGACGCCACCGGTTCCTCCTGGCCCCTTGCTGCCCGGAGCCAGGAGGGCACCGCGACGCGGGCCCTTCGGGTAGGAGGTGCCCAGGCTGCCACCCAAGGGTTGGCATCAGCTCAGCTGGGCTGGTTGGTGTTGGGGATGTCTGGGGCATCCGTGCACTTTGGCCTCTTTACAGCGGCAGCGTACGCGGTGAGTGACCATCACTCCTGGCCACAGTTATGGGAGCCGCGCGCACTGGGGGGTCTATGGGGAGACTGAGTCTGATCTCGGCCCTCCTGTTGCCGTCCAGGCCGCCCAGGAGCCAGGTTTCAGGGGTCACCTGCTGGGTGCCCAAAACTTTAGATGCCCTTAGCTTCGTCCTGCAGAGGAGATGATGGGGGCTCAGCTGGACCGGCGGCCGCCTGCTCCGGAGCGTGTGGGCCCTGCGTCGTGCTCCCTAAGAGGCCGGGCAGGGAGAGGGGGACGGACAGAGACGGGTGTGACCCCACTTCCATGTGTCTCTTCCAAACAGAACCCAGTTTTCACCTGAAAAGCACCGACACGGGAAACAGGTGCTCCCCGGCCGGTGTGGCGTTGCGATGGGTGCCATGCGGCTAATGGGTGTCTTCGGTGCCTTCCAGGGACCCAGGGCGCCGTGTGCAGAGTCCGCACCAAAGCCGAAGGCCCGTCGGGGGCAGACACCCCCCTGGAGCTGGTGTTCCACTTACCGGCCGGCTAC